TCTGTGTTAGTTCAACATCCCTCAAAATGTCTGTAGGTTGTTCACATGTGCAGGTGTTGGTTTCCTCATCTTGAGCATGAAATCTCAGCAGCTACTGCCATGAAGAAGTGGCATGGGAAGAAAACAGAGTAGGAAGCAATTCTTCTAATTATAGAAAGTTTACTTCAAGATCAGAAGCATAAGCACTGTGAAAAGCCTGGTTCCCATTTTTCATTGGTCAATGAAGAGTACCTATCTCCAGATTTGCAACAAGTGGTGCATTTCACTCTCAATCAGTTCTTTATTTAGCAGCAACATAATATTGCAGTAATGGTAATTCTTTTCTAGGAAGAGAGGTCATTGGTTTACTGTTGTAAAAATGAGAGTGATACTGTGTTTTCAATGCAATATTGAGTACTGGTGTTTTATCAACGTAGTAAATGTGGCATAAATGAGTGATTTTCTCATTTTTCAAATGATCAATTTTTCATTCACTTGCTAAAAGTAATTGATGGAGCATTCATTGACTGCTTTTCTTCTTCTGTACAGAGGAAGCCTTGGCAGGGGCTGTGCCCTCTGCAGAGCAAATAGAAGGTGCACCTTACCCTAAATCATTTATAATGAAAAAGGCAAATATTGGCCATTGGTCACAACACACGCGTGGCACTGAGTCACTGCAGGAGTCAGTGCTGGCTCAGCACACAGGAGTGACCTTGCTGAGTCTGGAGGGGAGGAAGCAGAGGCTGTGAAAAGAGGCAGTGGAGGGTGGCCTTGTTGTCGTCCAGACAGGAAGGTGAGAAGCAGAGATCTCAAATAATCAAGGTCAAGCCAGAAGCTGTTGGTAGAGCTGAGAATAGAACAGGAGCTGCTTTGCTTCCAGTCTCTACTTTGTTAAAAGACTGTCTGTCATGCTTGATCATTTACTTGCTAATTTGGGAAGTTTTTATGAGCTTTTTTTTGGAAAGTGAGGTTTATTTTCGTCTGTCTGTTGAGAGAAGGGTACAAAATGGCTGTTCTGTAGCATACTCACAGACCCACCCCATGGGACACTGAAGAAGAAAGGTGGAGAGAGCACTGGGGCCTCTCTTATGCCTTCTGGACAGTTGGGGTGCTGTCTGCAGGTTTCCCTGTGCCTACATTTCTAAATCCCAGAGCCCTTACTATGCTGACAGTGGTTCTAAAGCTTTGTACATCAGTGTGTGCATCAGCATAGACATCCTCTGGACTTTCAGCTATTGTTGAAACAGGCTCTATTGCACAATGGCTTTTCTTCTGTCTGTTAATCAGCAAACAACCCAACTGGAAACCTGTTTCCCAATAATATTATAGTCTCTGAATTTCTGCTTGATGCAAAGTAGTAATGAAATGAGGAACTTTGCCACACTAATGGTTTAGGGATTGAATTGCCTGCCAAAGAGAACAAGGGATAAATAACCTGCTGCTAATGCTGCTGCCACCCTTCTGACGTTGTTGCTTAATCCTTTTGACGCACCAGGAAAAGGGGAGACTAACATGAAAAAGAAAAATGTATTGCTTAACTGGGATGCTGAGTGCTTCTGTGTGACCTTTGGCCAGGCTCTGGCTCTTACCCCACCTTCTCATAGTTGTTGTCCTCCTCTGTCCTTGGAACTGCATTTGACTTGTCTCTCCTGGAGACCGTCCAAAAAAATAAGTTGGTGCCAAAGATTTCTTGTACTTGCAAGAAGCCCATACTGTTTTTCTTTGTCATTCCCTGCTCTTTTCCAGCATAATACGCTCTTGTAGAACTGTGTTCTGCCTCCTTTTCTCCTTTGTTTTCTTCACTGAAGCAATCAGTGCTCTGCTCTTTTTTGTTGTAGCGTCAGCCACACTCACATGCCTGCTACTGGAAACTCCTAGGTGTGTTTTATATAAAACTTAATGAGTAAATGCTTCTGTCACAATCCTGTGAAAAATAGTCTTCACTGGCATAGATTAAACCCATGTGGCCTATTGATGATGTGAGCAACTGCTGAAATTCTTTGTCTTTCCTGCTGAAAGTATGCAGTTAGGATTTGTCTCCTTTTCAGTTATTTGAAAACAACAGCTTATGTGCATGGACTTGGACCTGTTCTGTTGTGTAATCCATTTGTGAAGGAAATCAATCCTGCCTCCCTTTTCAAGAGAATAACAGCTTGTCAAAAAGTAGTGCATTTGGGGTGCTTTTGATGTATATATCCTAAAATGTTATTCTTCGGAACTTTGCATAGTTGAAATTTATTCATTTCTTGGCATAAAACCAGATATCCTATGTGTAAAACATAAATATATTTACCATATGGAAATATAGAACTAGTTTGGTTTCGTTTATACAATTTACAAGAACTTCAAAATTACTTACAGTTATTTTTTCATTCTTCTAATGTTTTTTCCAGTCAGTTTTGAAAGTTGAATTTTAGTGGTGCATGTTCATGGTGTTCAAACATATCTGCAATATCATTTAGTTTTAACCATTGTTTATGTAAATTACTGGCCTTTAAACTTTGGCTAATCCCTTTCAGATCAAGGAATCTATTGTTGGTGAAATAAGAAGAGAAATAGTAAGTGGATTGTTAGCAGCTGTATCACCCCAAAGCAGATCTGCAACTGCAAAACAGGATGCACAGCCATGAAACTGGTACTACAGGTAATCTTTGGAGATCTGCAAGAACCAGATTTTATTTTTTTTTTCAATTGCGTTAAATGTCATTCTTTGCTTTGTTTGCATTTTCTCCTTGAAGCATAAGTGATCAAATTTGAAGTTCATTAAATACAGAGAATACTGATAATCCTGGATAGATTTGGAAAGTCAGCTGGTTGGTAGTTTGGCCCATTCTACGGTCAGTTTTCATAGAGTGGTCCTTGATTTTTAGTTTCAGTGTGCTCTGTGATGACTTTTTATGTGAATACATCATGCAAGAGGATTTCTGCAGTTTGCCTGCCTTAGATATGAATAGTATCAAAATACATACTTGAACATAAAAGACTTCCAAAATCTAATTTAGGTCCTCATCTTCCTTTTTTTTCTCTAAGGTTGGATGTCGTCAGAAGTGCTGTGGGATTCTGCTTTGGGCAGCACCCACTGGTGAAAGTGCCAAGTTGGTTTTGCTTCGGGAAGTGTTAAAGCTGCTGAGATGGGCTACTGTGTTTGGCACTTGGTTCTCCGATGTGGACCTTTCCTTGAGTTCATCTGTAAGGACTTAGACACTTTACTTTCCTTAAAGCATCCGCAAAATTGTGTCACTCTGAAAGGTTTTGTATTTATTTGTATGTCCCTGTTGTAAATTTTTATGTAGCTAATTTCTTTGTCTAATGATGCATCATGAAACTTGAAGATTTCCAGACGTAACCAATTTATAAATAACACGTACACATTCAGCCTAGCTTTTTAAAAAAAAATAGAAAAAACCCCACAACAACCCCTCCCAAAACACTGACCTCTATGAGGTATTTATTGTGCAATAACTGATCCACTTTAAGAGCTTGAAATAACCAATAATGGTTTCCACTGCTGTTACTTAGTGCCGCTTCAAAAGAAGGAAACAATCCTGTTACACAAATTGCTGTTAATTCTTGAGGCGGTTACTATTAGCAGAGTGGTAGAATGACATGAGGTTACTCTTAAAACTACTTAAAGTTCTGACACTGAAAGCCTTATCTTTGTGTAGAAAACAACTTTTAACTAATTTTATTTGCTTCCTTGCTGTTTGCTCATCCCTTTATAGGAAAGTGCCTTATTTAAGCACTGGGGTGGTTTTTTTGGTGTTGACTACTTGCAGTCATACCAAGAGAAGTTCTGCTTCATATTAACCAAAATGCAATAAAAATGCTATGTTCTGAAAGCAATTAGGATTTGCAACTTGGAATGCATGAATGACCTTGCTTATATTGTGGGGAAAATGGAAAAAAAAATCTCTTTTTCTTCTCCATCCCTCACGGAGTGTATTTTCAGTCAGCCTGGTGAATATCCGATTGTTCCAATGGAGAAAATTGGAAGTCATTGGAGTTTTTATGTGGTCAAATAGACATTTAGTGGATATGTAATATCCCTTTTGGCTGTGCTTGAACTCTCTTTACTCCTTTGCCTTTTCCATCTACTAAAACTCTTCACACTATGTCAAGGTCTTTAATCAAAATAGTTTCAAATATTACAATATTATATGAAAAAGTTTATAAAATTTTAAATTGTGTTAGGAAGACACACAAGGGCTGATTTCTTTAAAAAGTGTATATTAAACCAATAAAATATTTATTTTGCCTATAATTTGTGTCAGTGTTTTGAATTATGCATGGTTTAGTCTTAAGCAAAATAAGATAGATTTGGTCAAAGAGTACACAGAATGGGGAACAGCAGGAAAGCTTAGGACTTGGCTTTGCAAAAAGCTTTCAGATATTCAGGGACCCTGAAATGTGAGAGCAGTGTTGCCACTTAAAACCACTGTCTTAAAGTTGTTGGCTTCTGTTGCTGGTCCAAGAAGTTGATAGGTGACCTCTCATCAGAGTTTTTCTTTGTAAGTAGAAGCAGGGCTTTCTTGAAAACCTTATTCTGCACATTGAAAAGCTGAAATACAAACTCTGGCAGCACTGATTCGTGGCAATCCATACAAGGTGGTAGTTGCAGTAGATTTCTGCCTTGCTTTGCAGCTTGCATGAGCACACAGCTCCTTTCCAGAGCACCACAGGAGATCAGCCAGCCAGACCCACATGTCTGCAACCTTCCTTTGCAAATGCAGAAACCCAAAACCTACTCAACCTGCTGCCCTTGTCCCCCAGCCAGATCAATTAACACTCTTGACCACTTATGTAGGTCCTGTGCCTTTGAGCTGCTCAAAGCGACTTTCCAAGAAAGGTGACAGCTGCTGCTCTCAGGGGGTGATGGAGGAATGCACTTCAGGAGATGGTGGCAGTTGAGCAGGAGCATGGAGACAGCAGCCTGACTTCCTGCTACTCCCCCAAGAGAAGTCACTTGCTGGTAACATCCCAGAGTTTCTGAGGTACTTCGTGTAGCTTGTAAGAACATTTGATCTCAGCAGTGCAAATCCTAGTGTTTAATATATCCTGAGAAATGAAAAATACTGCCAAATTTTCATCCAACTGATGGAAGTCAGATTTCTGAGGTTTGGCTATAATTTAAAATAAAGACATTTCAAAATGACGCTTCTAAAAACTGTACTAAAATGAATGGATATAAAAGCACCTGTTTTTCCATAATCCGGGTAACAGATTTTTGCCATTTTAAAGACACTTCCAGCTAATATTTTCTGAGTGACATTTATATGTAGGAATGCCTATAAACTGTTTAAAAAAATTACTTTAGTGGGTCTGTCCTATAGGTTAAGTTGTGCTGGTATCAACTTCTATTGGCAATTGTTTGTGCCTTAGGAAAGGCCATCATTATTGAACACATGGCTATCCTGGGTGACTTATCATAATGGTTTTCTGAGCATGGACAGTTTTTATTTTGTTTAATGATTCAGACTGCTACTTTCCTTGCAAATTAGTGTTGTCTTTTTTTCTGCCAGCCTGGAATTTGATATGGATTATATGCAGATTCAGACAGATTTATTAGTGGCTGATAAATATTGGTCGACCAAATTTGCGGTGAATAAAGGCAGACAGTATTGCCAGAGATATTTTGCATGCTTTTCTAAAGTTTGCTATGACAGTGACCTTTGTCATTGCCAGTTGGCTGTAGGAGTAACAGGAGCACCCACCTGATCATGTGGCTTAAAGCCTTTTGCCATTGGTGGCATTTTGGACTTTTCAGTCATGGGTTGGTAGCACCAGGCTTGTTGGAGACAGACTGGGCTCACTGGCTAAAAGGGGTAAAGGATTCTAGGGTTGGTAGTGGTGATTTGAGAGGGCTTTAAGCTTGGAAGGAGGAGGGAGATAAGACCAGACCAGGCTCAGCAGAGATGGGCCTAGGGCAGCACGGCAGTGCTGGGACGGAATCGATATCTCAGCTGACGTGTTTCTACACCAGTGCACACAGTGTCAGTAACAAACAGGAGGAACTGGGAGCCGTTGTGAAGCATGGACATAGTGTCCCTCACAGAAATGTACTGGGATGACTTGTGTGGCTGGAGTGCTGCGATGGTGGGTGTAAGCCCTTTGGGAGGGACGAGTGAGGAGGCAGAGGCAGCAGGGTGGCTCTGTACATTAGGGAGTGCTTGTTCTGTGCAGAGCCAAGGATAGTGATCATAAGGTTGAGTGCCTGTGGGTGCGAGTCAGGGGGGGCAAGGCAAAAATCCTGGTGGGAGTTTGTTACAGACCATCCAACCAGGATGAGGCAGCAGATGAACTGTTTGATAAGTGCCTGCCTGACATTTCACGATTGTTGGCTCGTGTTCTTGTGGGAGGCTTTATTTTGCCAGATATCTCCTGGAAACTCCAGCAGAGGAGAGGGGGCAGTCCTGGAGTGTGCAGAAGAGAGCTTCCTGACACAAGTGGTAAGTAAGGCTACAAGGTGTTTACAAACAAAGAAGGGTTGGTGGGAGATGCTGTGCTCAAGACAGCCTTCAACCACAGAACCACGAAATGATAGTTTCTGATTCTTGGTGAAGTAAGGAGAGGGATCAACAAAACCTCGACCTTGAACTTGTAGAGGGCAGATTTTGGCCTGCTCAGGACACTGGTTCAGAGAGTGTCAGTGGGAATCAGTCCTTAATAACTAAGGGGTCCAGCAAGGCTGGATATACTTTAAGAAGGAAATCTCAAAAGACACAGGAGCAGGCCATCCCCTGTGCTGAAAGAAGGGCTGGTGGGGAAGAAGACTGGCCTGGCTGAACAGGGAGCTTTTACTGGAACTCGGGACAAAAGAGAGGCTGAAATAAGGAGCAGGCAACTCAGGAAGAGCACAAGGGTGTCATTAGATCACGTAGATAGAAAAAAATTATAAGGCAAAAGCTCAGCTAGTACTCAATCTGACCACTGCTGTGAAAGATACTAAAAAGTGTTTTTGTAAGTACATTAACAACAAGAGGCAGAATGAGGAAAAGCTCCATCATTTATTGGACATGGGGGGTAAAATTGCCACCAAGGATGAAGAAAAGGCTGAGGTACTTAATGCCTCCTTTCCCTCAGTCTTTAACAGACAGACCACTTATCCTCTAGGCAATCAGCCCCCTGAGCTGGTAGACAGGGACAGGGAGCAGAGCAAGCCCCATGCAATACAGAAGGAAATATTGTTGTGCCATGTAAACCCTCACAAGTCTGTGGGGCCAGGTGGGATTCACTCGAGGGTACTGAGGGAGCGGGCAGAAGAGCTTGCCAAGCCGCTCTCCATCATTTGTCATCAGTTCTGGTTAACCAGAAAAGTCCCAGCTGGAGACTGCCCAATGTGACACCCACCTGCAAGAAGTGTTGGAAGGAGAATCCAGGGAAGGAGAGGCCTGTCAGCCTGACCTCAGTGACAGAGAAGGTTATGGATCAGATTAACTTGAGTTCAGTCTAGGAAAGGTAGGTCTTGCTTAGGCATTGTGATATTTTCATACCAGATATCTCACCTAGCCTTGGCTCCTGGCTTGTCCCTACTCATAAAGCAGCCCCATTCCTGCTACTCCCAACATCTATATAGAAAATAGCAAATAATTGTGCCTCAGCTACCTTGCCCAGGTCACCAAAACCAGATGCTACCCTCCAGGCATGCCTCCAGGTTTGTCTCAGTCCCTCCCTTGCAGATGCCGCAGGCAGGACCTTGAGGATTGTTGTGATATCTTTTGGTCTAGCATGTTCTCAGAGGGGGAGGAGGAGGAGGCAAGAAAGAAGGGATATCTGAAGAGTCTCAAATTAAAAAATGAGAATTTTAAGAACATGTTCTGAAATTGGCATACTGAGCTTTTGTGGGTACTTGGTGACTTTTCATTTTCTCTCTGGGAGTGTGTGTTTGCACAGGAGTTTTCTAACTCAGACTCTGAAACTGTGGAAGTTCATTCCTTGGTTTATCTTCTATGTATTCTTTATTTAACTTTTGTTTAAAAAATACAGTAACAACTGAACTTTTCAGACTCTGAAACTGTGGAAGTTCATTCCTTGGTTTATCTTCTATGTATTCTTTATTTTAACTTTTGTTTAAAAAAATACAGTAACCACTGAATTTCATATTTCAATTGTTTAATTCAGTGATATAGTCAGTCAACTTTTGCATTAAAGATTTAATATGGAAATAATATTATTTTATTCTAAAACCTGTGTACACAACACATTCCTGTTTATTGAAAGATGTATTAGATTTACCCTATTCTTTGTAAGGAAGCAAATTGTAGCATCTTTTCCTGCTGAAATACCCTCCTAAAACCAGTACCAGAGTTTTGCTTTCTGCGCTATTGAACCATATTAGGCAAGAATCTTTTGACTGTCTACACAGGTCATGTCCCATTAATCCAGCTCATTTCCTATGTTTTGGATGATTGTATTCTGTTGTTGGTAGTGGATCTAGCAGTATGTGTTTGTACATTACCTCAAAGTGTGGAGAGCTGTGAATTTCTGAGGAAGACTGGAATAGACAGTGTAAGTTCTTCTGTGGTCAGATAAAGTAACTTTAAACTGATTCTGATTAAAACCATACTGCTGAGGAATTATTTATTATCTTAAGAGACGAGCTTGTATAAATAGAAATAGAAATAGCTTTATCTTTTTACTTATCTAGGCTTTATGTATCCACATATATAGTTAGTACATAAACAAGTCCAAACCTGATATTCTATGAATAAGAACTGGCAATGGAAATTTGGGTTAGACTGTTGCCAGGCCAACAGCTCTCACTGAATGTCCCACTGACTCTGTCGCTGCTCAGAAAGACTTTCTGTTCTTCTTTTTGACCTGCCTGTGGCAACACTTGGTACTCATGAGGCAGATGAGATCTGCTCTGCATTCTACCACCCTGGCAAATTTTAAATTCTTTGCATTTTCTATATATAAATAGCAGACTGTGTTTCCAGCAGCTCAGTGGGAGTCACCCTGTTTGCAATGCTGTTTGGAAAGGAAAATTTCAGTGTCATTTTGAATAAGCAATTTTTTATTCTTGAAAGGCTTCTGTCTGATTTTAGCCCCCATAAGTGAGGCACAGTGCAGAGCCCCAAAGGGCAAACTGATCCTCCTGTCTGGGCAAAGGCAGGGAAGAAGCTGTTCATCAGTTTTTTAGAAAAAGGCAGAAGGAAGGGGCACATTGAAGCCCTTTTGGCTGTATCAGAAAGCCAGAGTGCTCTGCGGTGTTTCTCCCTCTGATGCTGCTGGGCTGCCCAGCACTATGCTGAGGACAGGTTGCTGTGAGGAGAGGGCAGCTGGAGAGCCCAGGGAAAGCACAGGTCAACCTATCTTTGTTAAACCACTCACATATCAGTGGCTACAATGGGGATTAAAGTTATGTCTAAGACACAGGAGAATTGCCACATCCAAGCTGAGCCCTTGCTCTGCAAAGCCCCCTGTTGGATCAGGGTACTGTAACTTAATGCTTCTCTGCATCTGCACTGGTGAATTTAGGAGCCAAAGCCTTAAGCAGGTTTGTTTTACAAGGAACACCAGCTCTGCTCTCCAGAGTGGTGCTGCAGTAGTCTCTGACCACACCAGAGGAGCTGAGGCAGATCAGAGCAGCAACAAAAATTGTGCAAAGAGAGTGCAGAACCAAGACCCTTGAATTGCCATGCCAGAAGCCTTGTCTTTGGCTGGAAACAAGATATAAACCTTTCCTAAGACACCAGGGAAATAGCTCAAGCAGGAGCTATGCCAAGAGTGCTTCCACAGCTCATCCCTACACCAGGGTATTCTAAAAGGCAGTGCTTCATACCAGAACATAGTGAATGGCATAGGAAGGAAAGATCTTGGACAGTTCTATTATTTTTAATTCCATTATAGTTTTAGCTGAATCATGAAGGCATCTGAAACTGAAATTGTGGGGAGTGCACTAAAAACAGAAGATGAACTACAGGGATGTGTCCTTAAACGTGTTTCAGCTCTCCCCAGACTATGATGCAGTCTATAGAAAATGCCGGCACACTTTGCCTGCAGACTTCTAATGCTGCAAATTGGTGTAAGAGAGAGCCAAGGCAGGCATCCTGAAATGCTGTATCTGAGTGCTCTCTCACTATGCCTCTTATACTATTTTAAAAATACTGTTATTGTATTAGTGCATGTGAAGATTGTAGGGCTGCCAGCTCCAAATAGGCACAGGGAGAAAAGCTGCAGGAAACAAATACTTCCACATCACATTGTCGGGGGGGCCTCTCTCCCAGTCTTAGCCAGCCCCATTAAGGATTAGACCTTGTGTTTTGGTCTGTCCTGTTGTCTGTCTCCCTTCAGAAGATGCCAAAAGTGGTTTTGTTGGTTTGGGATTTTTGTAAGGTTGTTGAGCTTTTTTCTTATATACCATTAAAAAAATGCATTTGCAACACAAATTCCTTTTGGCAGCAATGTCCAGCAATCTAGAGCTGAAACACACTGTTATAATCCTTTGAGCACTTAATACTTTAATAAATTTTTACTGTCTGAATATAGTTTTTAAAATGACTTTGTCATTAACATAAGAAATGTTAAGCCTTTGCAGTGATAATTATAGCTCCTGTGATCGGTAAAATATATTAGAATTGCAATTGTATCATTTAATGCGTTAAGTTGCATAGATATCTAGAATAGATATTTTTATGGAAAACAGGTATTTTCTAGAGAAATTGATATTTAAAATATACAATTTATTAATATTTATGGTAGCAACGCATCTGGAAAACATTTTTCTCACAGTATCTCACAGCAAAAACAAACATTATTTTCCTTCAAGTATCAAAGTTCAAGAGGAAAGCCGCAGCTTCAGATCCCTGCCTATGTCCTCCCCCAGATGTAACCCTGTGTATGTGGTGTGTATATATACCCCTGGTATGCCTGAAGCTGTCATTGGAGATAATGGCACATCTGTGCATGAAGGACTTGTGAAACTGGATAATGAGACTGTCCTGAAAACAACTCTCCAGTTGTCCTGGTGAAAGCAGAGTGTGCCTCTCTTACTTTAGTGCCTTAGGCTTCATTGTGCCACCATAACTTTTACAATTGCACTCTTGCTCTAACTGTGGAAGTCTATAAAACAAATTATGTTTTGTCTTTGTAGGAATAGTGAAGGCTTAAAAATGGTCATATGAAACACTGAATATCAGTGTTTTGTGCATCTCTTTCATTTGTTGTGGTAAGTGAAGCTAAGCATTAAGCACCAAATACATTCAGGATTCAGACTGAGAGGTCCCAGAATAACCTGGTCTCATACCCTGCTTCAAGCAGGGGTGGTGGGATCAAGTATCTCCAGAAGGTCCTGACCAATCAGACTCTTCTGTGATTCAAAAGTCTAAGTTAATGCCACCTAAACTATCATAAGAAATTGAACAGGAAAGTTGCCAGCTACTAGCTGTCAGCTGGGAACCACTATGGTTCTCAGTAGCTTTGATATGGATGAGAAGGGGAATTTTGGCCCTCACTGAGAGTTATTTTTGATCATTGAGCCAACTGGATCCTTAACCTAAAGTGTATCCTCACCTCCTAAGCTTTCTCAGGTCCTTCCCAAACCAGCTAGCTTGTGTGCTTGCCTCTGTTCAGAAACAGCCCGGTGCTCCGATGATGTGCCATGACTTTAATTTGTAAAATCAAAGCCAAACAAGTATTTCATGTCTGCCTTGCTGGTTGGTTCTGTGTGTGTGGCCAGTGCATTGTTCCCACCCACAATCCCCGCTCCTTCCCTGCCTCCTCCACTGGCACAGGTGGGAAAGTACTCAGTGACTCAATAAGCCTGTGGTGAACTGTGAAAATCTTCAGTGCTCTCAGTGGCCTGAACAAAGAACATTTTCAAATTCCTCTGAGTTTTGCAAAGAGGTAGGTTAGATCAGTGATTGCTGGATGTTGTTTCACACTCTTCTTTTGAATTAGTGTGAAATGACAAGTGAAAATCAATTATATTCACAACGGAGTAATATTGATATGATTGACCATATTATTTTCCTGGTCTTGGAATGAGGCATGGATTTTGTACCCTTGAGTAGGATTTAGCCTCTGAATTTTAGTCATCCAAAAGTGATTTAACTAGTCTGAATCATCTTTCCTTTTTCTAGAGTTATGGGAGAGAAAATGTAATCTTGAGTAAACGCTATATCCCACTTTGCCTGGATAGAATGTGATGCCTGTTGATGTGCTTAGCATGAGGGAGCCCAGAGAGCTGGCTCAAATGTGAGTGTTCTCAAATCTGGAGCCACGTGAAACGGAGCCCACCGAAAGAAATCACAGTCTAAATATGAAAACCAGGCCTAAGGTGCAAACCCACAAGAGAAGTGTCATGTAATTGTGGGCAACTCTGTAGCATCATCACCAAAAATCTTCCTGTAAGATTTAGTAAAGTCTAAAACTGTAGGACTAAAAAAATATTTGAAAGAGCAAAGGGAATTGATATGTGAAAAGAGGAGAGTGGTTCTGGCACACTGCAACAGAGATCGAATTTTTGAATCCACCCCTTCTGCTACCTCCACCCCCAAAATCTGAAAACTTCCTGATTTGTGTTCATCAATAATTAAGAGCCCATCAGCAATACTCAGAGGGAGCTTGCATTGCACTTCTGAGCAGCCAGTTAGTAATATACGGTGGAGAGATCCTCTTTTTCAAATCCCAAGGCTCCAGGCCATGCAATGCTAGTATTGCATTTTCAATTAGCTTCTGAGTGAATGCTTGGCATATGTGGAAGTGAGCTCGTACACAATTAGCTTATTGTTCCTTTCAGCTTTCTGCTGAGAGGATCTGAAGGGCTGCTGAAGAGAGGGGAAAAAAAAAAAAAAAAAGAAAACAGCCAAGCCAGTGGCATCTCTGTGGATGTGGAACAAGGGAGTCGCTCGGCTGGCGCAGATTCCCGGGCTAAGTCGGGAGTTACAGCTGTTCCTGCGGAGCTCCAGCCGGGCCGCGGGGACAGCGCCGGGGCACAGGCACAGACCGGGCTCGAGCTCTTCTCTCGTCCGGCTCACCTCAGCATCACCATGGAGCCCAACAGCCCCAAAAAAATACAGTTTGCTGTGCCCCTGTTTCAGAGCCAAATAGATCCTGAGGCAGCTGAGCAGGTAAGGAGGATGAGTTTCCTTCACTGTTTCGAATGGGAAATGTGGGAATGGGGCAGGGTGTGGGTGAGCACACGGGATACTTGTGGCCTAAAGGCTTTTCTAGCTTATGTTAGTGAAACTCTAGATTAAATACTCTGGAGGTTATAGTGATGTTTGATAGACTTAAAGAGGGGGAAGGATATGTTCTCTAGGCAGAATAAGGCTTCTTCACCTCGCGTAGGTTTATTAATGTATATTTTTTGTGCCTTTTCTGTGTGCCTCTTCTACTCTAATACTTACATTTCACATAAATGCACTCAATGAATACATTCTCAACAAACCAATTCAAGTGTATTAAATGTACATAAAGAAAAGCATAAAGTTAATAATAGGTAAATAAGAGAAATATTGGGAAGAAGACATCTTATTTACCTTTCATTTTAACATGAGAAAATACAACTAATGTTTTGCACAGTATTCATCATTTCAGTTACTTCCTGTATTTCTCATGATTTTTTACAGTCTTTAAGTAATTTTTATGGTATTTTACATGCCTGAAAAATATATACGTGTGGAAATATGCTGTACTTATGTCCTTCTTGGAATAATGTGTATGCTATTTTAGGTTTTAACTCACTCCCAAAAGATACACATAATAATATATACACATACACTGTACTGATATATATGTATATATATATCTCAGTACTGACATCTAAGGAGGAGAATATATCTATTACTATGTACCTTTTATTAGGCACATCTAATAAAATGTGCCTAATAAAAGGTCACAGGCAGTCTTGTGACAAAACTGTGTAAATCTTAATTAGGTGACCCAGTATATTTCTCTCTGTGCAAGTTGTGCCCAACATTTGCTTCTATTTGGGTACGTCTGATTTTAGATGATACCAGGGGAATATAATAACCTTGAAAGTTCCATACAAGTAGCCATGAAATTCTTTGCACCTTTAAGAGAGTCATCTGGTTTCCTGAATATCCTGATGTTTTCTCTTAAAAGGCAGAGACCTTTTCCAGGAAATGAGTCGGGAGTGACCACTGAATGTGAAACATTAGAAGGGTGCAGAAAAGAATTGTTGTGGGTCCTCATTTTGTCCGTAGGCACTCCTGAACTGTGAGATGTCCCTTACAGAACAGTTCTGCAATGAATTCAAGCAGAATGTTTTCTGGCATCTTTCTGAAATCTGTGAGAACCATAGGATTAGGATTTCCTGGAATTCCCACGGCTGTTGAAATGCTGTAGCCTATTTTCTTCCTGGTATTTATGGGCAGTCCTTTTTTTTTTTTTTTTTCCTGTTGTTGTTGTGAGTTTGATTCCAAGTGCTATACAGTTTCACTGTGGGTGTGTGATGAAATTAAAATAGCAAATTCTACAGTCAGCTACAGTTACACTAATCTAGAATAAACCCATTAACCCTGATGATGTAACTTTCCATTTACACCTCTGAAAGCAAAATTTGAACCTAGCTAAATACAGATGTTGGCTCAGCAAATAAAAAAGAACAAATGCACTGACATTGAGGTTTTGTGTCAGAATGGTTTCTAGCTTAAATGCTCCTGGTCCCTGTCTTAAATTCAATAGAATATCAGGCCTGGAGGCTTTTGTGAAGCAACACAAAGCTTTCAGTGCAAATGTGTGCATTATAAGAGGGTATTCCAATGCCATGTAGTTCAGCCACTGTTAATGGAACAAAGGTAGTTACCCAGATGAACTCTGAAGAATTTGGAGTTTACATACAATTCAGGACTATGTATTGGTATGTAAAATCTGCTATATTGGAAATACTCTTTTTAAGGTCTTAAATACTGGAGTATTTTTGGTTAAAGAACTGTTACTATAGTAACACCTCTGGCAACAGTTTTGAAACATGAGTTCATTGGAAGGCATACCTGCAAAACTCTGAAATGCACTTGCAAAATATTAATTATTACTTGAGAGAGCTATGGCAGTACTAGGTATTTGCACATACACGCTCAGAAACTATGAAATTATCTTCCTGATGCAAAGCTAAATGTCAATATTTGAAGATATGACTGATATTTTTCAGCAATACATATCCAAAAAACTGAAGTCAAGATGATTACAAATCCTAAAGGTATTTTGGACAGCTCTCCCCATGCCTTTGTTCTCCCTAAACAAGCAGCAGCACGACCCTGTTTGCTGTCAGACCAGACAAGCTGTCAGTAAGACAGTGAAGTGCTGCTGTTCTTTAAATAGTTTCCTTTTTCACTTTTACTCTGGAGGACACCAGACAGACTTTTTGCTTTGCTTTGCTTTGTGTGTGTGGCAATTGATGGGCCCTAATGACTCTCCTCGGTTTATATCTGTTACAGATCAGGAAAAGAAGGCCTACGCCAGCATCACTCGTCATCATGAACGAGCACATGCCCCCAGGTGAGTGCTAACATACCTTCTAAACCACTGAACTTGTATACACAGGACTGGCTGCAAACTGGTTTGATTAACTACACGAGTTTAAAAACCCAGCATTAATGTTTTGGCTCTAAATATCAAACAACTGATCTTAGGATGTTTTGGAGTAAACCCCACGATCACAGGTAACTCCTGGCCTTCAGATAATGTCACTGATTTTGCAATTTTATCCTCCACGTCAATCTTGGTTATATGTAGAAGGAGAATTAGTATGATCCAGATCCAGTTCTTCCATCCACAAATATTTTCTTTCCCTGGGTGGAGACCTTGGAGATCCATGAAGTCTGATCTCTAGAGACACCAGGCTGGGTCCAGCATTAATTCAAGCCAAGGAGTTGTTTCTGGAAAACAGGCCCCTTCTAGTTTCCTGATAAAATATATAAAGTGTTATTTCATTATTCTTTTTCAACTGTGAATACATAATCTTCATCCAGGTGTTCCCACAGAAGATTCCCTGCGGGATGGGATGATTTGAGGTTGAGACATACTTTGTCATATAAATATGACTTCAGAAAGACTCCTTAGTAAGGTGTTTAGAGAGTGTTATAAAGAAAAAAACTCCTCAAAAGGGGAAAATCCTCAATAGTTAATCCCTTGGAACACAGTGCCTACTTTATATCAAACTTTTCCTTTGTTGTGCTCTGCAATATTTTTTTCCCTGCCATACCTCTTAGTCGCCTGAATCTTTTTTTAAAATCTTTTTGGAGAGTAACTTTCTGTCCTGGATTTCAGGTAGTTCAGCTCTCTAAAATGGTGCATGAATGATCTGCTTTGAACTGACTTTCTTTACCTATATAGGATAATAATGGGATCTATACTGTCTGTGTTGTTAGGACTTATTTTAAAGCGAATTCACCTTGACTGTTAATCTCTTCTGCAATTCATTTTGTACACTTTGTACCGTCATATTTCCTTTTATAAACAGATACTTGGTACAATACCAAATCAAAACCAAACAAAGAATAAGGACTCTTTAATTTACAGGAAATTTTACTGTAAACAAAGTGGTACATGTCTGTTATCACCTTTCCTGCAATGTTCATAATAAGTCTTTAAATAAATCATTTTTATTATGAGTCAGGATTGCTGCAGGTTTCAGCCAACTTCCATATAAGCCCATGAATTAGTATTTGTCTTCACTTATTTAGATTTGTTTATTTAGATATTATTTGTTCTTTCTAGATACTGGGAACTAATATTAATGAAATTATTATTTGGCTAAATTATAACCTCGTCCTGATTTAAAATTTTCCATTAAGCAGGATAAAAATTAAAACTTTTAAAAGCAGCTTCATTTTCCTGCCCTTCACCATGAGGTTCATGCAGGTTTCCATAGGGGGTCACTTGCTTCAAATGAGCAAGTGTGCAGGTAGCTCTGCTAGCCTGCTGAGCAAAAGGACAGTAAATCCAGGTTGGAAAGGCAGACAACAGGTTTACAATGGATGTGCAAATACTAAATAAAGCCTTTGTGGGCTTCATCTTGCAAGGTGCTGTACAGCTCCTGAAATGGTTATGTGCCTTCAACTTTCAGAGTCAGAGGTCCTAGGGCCTCTTTGACACCTTGCTGATTAAACCCCAAAATGCTGATCAGTTACTGGATTTTGAATAGAATTCAGGGGGATGCTGAATAAAATTTGTCTCCAAAAATAGTAAATTCGTCACTGCAAATGGATGCAGTTAATTAAAAAAAAAAAAAAAAAAGTAGGGGTGCTAACTTGACAATCCAACAAATTGTTTTAGGAGTATGATTCCCTGGAACAATAGGAAAACTGAGCAGTAGAGAATTCCAGTGATACTGACAGAGCCACACCTTTTTATTAGAGCTGGGCTAAACGAGAGTTCTGTCCCCTGAATTTTACCCACTGGAGTATTCTACTTCCTTCATTAGGAGCAAGGAGCTAGTGAAGGATATGCTTCCAAGAGTTTGAAATGTGTGTCCTAATGCAATCCTAAATGTTTGGATGCCCCTACAAAGTCTACTCAAGTTATCTAAACTTTTCCTTTTTTGAAAAACAGAAACAGGCATACTCTAAGAATCAGGCTTTTCTATAGCCTTCTGTTACAGCTGCTTCTGATTGCAGCTGGTAAAAAAAAGAAAAAAAAAAAAAAGTAGCATATTTGTGGTATTCTGGTGTTCTGGATGCACACCCATCTGGAAACCAGAAGGCAATAAAATGTGTTTGGACATTTAAGAACTTCATAATAAATTCAGCTTGAGTTCTTCTGTAAAAGGTCTAAAAGTTGTTTTCTATTAAGTCTTCTCATCCATCCCTGGTGCCTGCTACAGCTTTGGTAGGGGTATGTCTTCACCTGTTTAGGTCAGGTCAATCAAGCTATAAAGTGAAGATGGACTATCTACTAAGCCTAATTCATTTTAAACCAATGACAGCTGCTCAAAAACTATAAGAGTCTGCTTGACTTCCTTGCTTTCGAGGAGATGGTGTTAGAGCACACTGAATTGTTTAAAGTCAGGTGATAATTGTGACTACAGAAGCTCATATCCAGCCTGTAGCATCATTGACTCTCACATTTCCTCATGCTCACTCTGGTTGGCATCATATAGAAGTGCAATCACAGCCAACAAAAGAGAAATTTGAGTTGCAGCAGCAACAGTGATTGCAGTGGACAAGATGACCTTGTGAAGAAACAGCAATGAAGAAACCATTAACTCTTCCTGTAAGTTCTGTGTAAAGTGCTCTTAGATGAGTTGTGTCACATTTGAGCAGAGAAACTAGCACTAGCAAACTGAGACTTGAGTTATGAAGTCGCTGTAATCTATTGTGCTTCAGTTGCCATCAATGGAGCATCTGATGTTTGATTTTGTAATAGCAAATCAGTTCCCTTTGATTTGAAATTATAAGACCCTTTTACTATCTGTGAAGCCAAAGTCAAGTATAAAGTGGGAGAGCTACACAAATGGGCAGCATCTCATCCTGTGAGGATGGTGCATGGATTACAGGGGTAACCCACTCACATCCTGCTCTAGCTGCAGCTGCTCTACACCTGTCTTTTATAAAAGGAATGTAAGCACATGCTTAGTTTTAAAGACATATTTAACTATTACACTTGATTAGTGTTTAATCAAAAAATTGTAATATCCTTGGAGTCAACAGAAACATATCTCCATCACAAACATCCTTTTCTGTGTATGCACAACCTCCTGTCTCCATGCCCAGCATGGCAGAAAATATGGGAATATCAGTTCTTATTAGCTGAACTAAAAGTCTGAGCATGCTTTAAAACAGCAGAATATTGTAATGCAACAGCTCAAGAAGAAGCTGGTAGCAGAGTAGAGAACTGATGGCTGAGGGAAGAAAGCACGTCAGACCACAACTCAGGTTTAATACCATTAGAGCTCACTTTGATCAGAAAACAATGCCAGCATTCCTGTACAGACTGGCTTTGTCACAGAGCCAACACAACATCAAACAGTCTGGCTGGCAAAGGCTCTTCAACTTATGTCAAAGTGTTCAGTCTTCTTGAAGCATTGGAATATGGGCAAACATTAGGATAAACTTCTGTGTATCTAAATTTTCTACATATTTTCTGTTTCCAACTCCCCTTTCTGCTTTGTTGTCTGTTTTGACATCCTTGCTTGTAATGTAAATGTTACTGTGTGTTTAGAAATACAGCTGCCTTTTTGGGCTTTGCAAACCTCATTTCAAAGCAGTAAGGATGTATTATGACTGCAAAAGCAATATAAAACATACCTTCCCAGTATAACACAGCACATCTGAGCTTACTGAATGCTGGAAATCATAACTTGAAGAAAAGCAATCTGTACCTGCCTCCAAACAAGCTTGCAGCTTGTGTTTGGGCATTAGCAGTTTTGCTTTCTCATTCCTAGCTGATTTTTGGTTACCCAGAAAGGATCCAAGCCTTTCAGCTTACTGTCCCTTCCCCAGAGCTCTGCTGAGATGCCTCATGGGCAGTCTCAGTATTTAGTGCAGCAGCAAACAACACAGCCAGGTGAGTGGTGGAAGGAAAATCTGTCCTTACACCTTTGTCAATTCCATGACAACCCGAAGTAGTTGAGGTTTTAATGCTAAATTGGTTTTAGACACTCCTGGACTTTCCCTGCACAATAAATCTCATTACCACAGACAGATGTGCTTTTCTGCTGATGCAAACTGTACCAGCACCACATTCTTGATGGGATTAATGTGAGTCACTTTGCCCAGCATTAAGGTTTGTGACTAATATTAGCTGGATCATGCTTCTAGGTGAATGAATGTATTTGGGTTTAGATCTAATGATCACTTTTTTATTTTTTTTTTCTTCCAAGGCAAAATAAACTGAGCTCAAGAAAAGACCTAGTTAGTAGGAGGCAGGTGTTTCTGAGCATTGTCCAGCAGTTCTGCTATACTTTCTCAGGGAAAAATCTCAGCAGAAAACTCTTGATCTCAGAGTTCATGGAAACTGATATGTTTTTCAGACTATTGAAATTCTGGTAGGACATACTGCTTACTTTGGTCCAAGAACTGGAGAGTGAGTAAGCCAAATAGCAGATGTTTTCAATTGCAAATTTAGGCTTCTAATGTGGTAATAGAGCAGTCAGAAAAGCAGTACATGAATAAAAACTGTCATTAGCTGTATTTTTTTTTGTCAAACTAGTTGGTCTTCCTATATGCTAAATGCATATGCCGTTTAAGTATTCTGTCTCTTTTTTATATCAGTCCAGGAGTCTGTGGAGGTATTTCAGTAAGCAATGAAAAACATTTGTGTCCCCTCACAGCAGAGGGCTGGCGTAGCCCAGGGTACATTACTGATGGCACCAGGATGTTCAGAGATTAGGCACGACTTGTCAAGGCAGTGAGGGCCTTTGTGTGCTTTCAGCCTGTGTTGGAAAGGACTATCTGACACAGCCAAACAATGAAATATGTAAAGTAAACATTGTGTAAGGCCTGACTGGTGATAGGGGTTCCAAAACAGAGATAAAAATGTCTGTGCTTGAAATTATC